CTTCCTGTCACTCACAATCACATACAGAATCACAGAATTGTAGGGGTTTGTATGGGAACTGCTGAGTCACGGCCTGAACCTCTGATTAATCACCTGAGGTGAGCCTTGAGTCAGCCTGAGGAGCACAGGTGAAGGCAATTCACCTGTGCTGCCGGAAGGGGTGAAGCCTGGCTCCACCCCTCCTGGACCTATTTAAGAGCTGGCTACCAGAGGGGAAGGATCTCTTCTGGAGATCCCCTCTTCTGGTATCTTCTGGTGAGCTCAACCCAAGGGTAAGCTCTTCCACTTATTCTCTCTTGTGATCCTTGTTTGCTTTACCTTACTCTCTTGATTATATTGCAATTATAACATCTTGATATCTATTGATTATACTCAATTATATTGTGATTATAACATCTTGGTTATACAGGGTTGGAAGGGACCTCTAAAGATTGTCAAGTCCAACCCTCCTGCTAAAGTGAATTCCACACCACAGGTTGCACAGAAAAGAGTACTGATGTGTCCTGAGTATCTCCAAAGAAGGAAACTCCACAGCCTGTCTGGACAGCCTGTTCCAGTGTTCCACCACTCTGACAGCAAAGAAGTTCTTCCTTGTGTTAGTACAGAACTTCCTTGGTTTCAGAACCCGCTCACCTTTTGCAGGAGAAGAGTGGACCACTGGTAAGTGAATTTAAACTGCTGCTGCAGACTGCATGAGGTTAACGCCACCAATGTGTCCCTGGGCCAGGCTGTGCTGGTCTTGCAGCAGGGAGCCAGTACTTGCTTTAATCTGTGCCCTCCAAGGCTTTTGTGATGCCCAGTGCTACTGGGTCTGAGCTGCTCCCAGTATTCCTTTCTGGGTCAGGCTGGCAAGCCCAGTGCTCTGGCAAAGTGGCTGCCTCACTCCAGAGGTGGTGCTCGGGGCACAGTGTGGGGAGTCAGCTCCTGGAACTGCTCGACAAAGTGCTGCAGTGCTGGGAGAGGTGACACCGCTCGTCAGGAACAGCTGGAAGGAGAGGAAGGCATCCAGAGGGACCTGGAGAAGTGGGCCCATGAGAACTTAATGAGGTTCAGCAAGGCCAAGTGCAAGGTGCTGCACTTGGGTCAGGGCAATCCCAGGTATTTATACAGACTGAGGAAAGGACCTGAAAGCAGCCCTGCGCAGAAGGACTTGGGGTCCTGTTAGATGAGAAGCTGGACATGAGGCAGCAGTGTGCGCCTGCAGCCCAGAAGGCCAACTGTGTTCTGGGCTGCATGAAAAAGGGGCAGCCAGCAGGAGAGGGAGGTGATCGTCCCCCTCTGCTCGGCTCTTGTGAGCCCCATCTGCAGTGCTGCATCCAGGCCTGGGGCCCCCAGCACAGGAAGGACGTGGAGCTCTGGGAGCGGGTCCAGAGGAGGCACTGAGATGAGCAGAGGGCTGGAGCAGCTTTGCTGTGAGGAAAGGTTGAGGGAACTGGGCTTGTTGAGCTTGGAAAAGAGAAGGCTGCGGGGGGACCTCATGGTGGCCTTCCAGTGCTTGAAGGGAGCAGATAAACAGGAGGGGGACTGGCTGTTTACGAGGGTGGATGGTGATAGGACAAGGGGAAATGGATTTAAAGCAAGACAAGGGAGTTTAGGTTGGATATTAGGAAGAAGTCTCTCACTCTGGTGGTGAGGCACTGGAACAGGTTGCCCAAGGAGGCTGTGGATGCCCCATCCCTGCAGGCATTCAAGGCCAGGCTGGATGTGGCTCTGGGCAGCCTGGACTGCTGGTTGGCGACCTGCACACAGCAGGGGGCTGGAACTGGATGAGTGCTGTGGTCCTTTGCAACCCAGGCCATTCTATGACCAGGGCTGCTCCAGCCTCTCCCCCGCCCCAGGGGATGGAGTTACTGTGGCATCTCCTCCAAATGAGAGGCCAGGCTTTTGTCCATTATAGTAATTACTAATTAAAGAGTGGGACCTGTCTGGAAAGAATAATGCTAGCAGAGGCATCTGGAACTGTGTATAGCACAGTCATTCAGGAATAAGAGCACACTGAGGTTGCAGGTTGCTGGGCACTGGACTCAAAAATACTCCTTACTGCTATGAAATTCAGAGCAGATATGTTTGTACTTCCCACCAGAGATGCTGACTGGGGTGCCTAGGTAAGTACATTTGATGGGCAAGGGGCACATAGGACTAAATAACTATATATGGCTGCTGCCATTCAGTGTGTCTCCAGGAGATAAGGCAATTGGAGCCAGTCCAGCCAAAGGATAAATTCCCAGCACCTCCTTGTATGAAGGTTTTGAAAGACCCACCTCCAGGCAGTACAATGCCAGCAACAGCCCAGTGATCTAAGTGATCCTCCCCTGTGAGGATGGGCTGAGAGGGCTGGGGCTGTGCAGCCTGGGGAAGAGAGGACTCTGGGGAGGGTTGAGATTGTCCTTGCAGTATCTAAAAGACAACTATGAGAAAGAAGGGGACAAGCTCATTAGCAGGGTCTGTTGTGATAGGAATGGTGGAAATGGTGTCAAACTAAAAGAGAGGAGATTTAGATTGGATATAAGGAAGAAGATTTTTACAATAAGAGCGGTGAGACACTGGCACAGGCTGCCTAGAGGAGTGGTACATGCCTCATTCCCAGAGACACTCATAGTCAGACTCAGAGCACCTGATGGAGCTGTAGGTGTCCCTGTTCATCGCAGGGCAGTTGGAGTAGATGACCTTTAAGGGTCTCTTCCAACTCAAATGATTCTATGATTCTATGTCTTCTTCCCTGGCTACAGCACAGAGCAGTGCTGGGGCTGCATGGGAAGGTTCTGTCCTTCCTGTCTGTGACTGCTGGGCAAAATCACAGTCCGTGATAGTCTGAGTGGGGCAAAGTTGCAAAATACACATTTTTGTCCAGACCTATTTTTGGAGTATACTCTATGTGAGAACGTGCAAAGAAAACTTGTGAGGAGTGGCTAGGGGAATTGGGGTTGCTTAGTCTTAGGAAAAAGAGGCTGAGGACCTCCATCATATTTGGAAATATAGCTCTCAGGTGAAGTCTCTAAGACTGGAAGAAGGGAAACATCACTCCCATTTTTAAGAAGAGGAGAAAAGAAGACCCAGGAAACTACCTAATGAGGTTCAACAAGGCTAAGTGCAGGGTGTTGCACTTGGGCCAGGGCAATCCCAGATATATGTACAGACTGGGAGAAGAACTGCTTGAGAGCAGCCCTGCGGAGAAGGACTGGAGGGTCCTGATGGATGAAAAGCCAGCAGTGGACATGATGGACATGAGCCAGCGGTGTGTGTTTGCAGCTCATAAGGTCAACAGACTGCCCAGAAAAGCTGTGGATGTCCCTGGAAGTGCTATATGTGAGGCTGGATGGGGCCATGTGCAAGCTGATCTAGTGCCTGATTTAGTGCTTGGCAACCCTGCCCATGGCAGATAGGTTGGAAGTAGATGATCTTCAAGGTCCTTTCCAAACTAAGCTATTCTTTAATTCTATGATTTCATTATTCTCTACAGCTACCTGAAAGGAGGTTTCAGTGAGGTACATGTCAGTCTCTTTTCTCAATTGATAAGTAATGTTGGAGGATATGAACAAATAGCCTCAAGTGTGTCAGGAGAGGTTTAGGTTAGAGGTTAGGAAGAGTCTCTTCATGGAAAGACTGGTTGGGCATTGGAGCAAACTGTCCACAGAAGTGGTAGAGTCACCACCCCTGGAGATATTTGAAAGATGTGTGGATGTGGTACTTGGGCACGCGGTCTAGTGGTGGACTTGATAGCATTGGGTCATGTTTGGACTTGATGATCTCATGGGTCTTTTCCAACCTAGATGATTCTAGGTTGATTCTATTCTAAAGGAGTTCATAGCTGTCATGGTTTTGTGATTTTTGGCTTTCGGTATTCCACATCATAACATCATGTGGGGCACTGGGACTTTAACTGTCAGTGCTCAAGTCCTGGGTACCTGCCCTGAAGAGAAGAAGAACTACATTCCCCAGGGGACCTTGCGCTCAGGGAGAGGAGGTTGAACTCCTGGCAAGGTCACCTGATGCTCTTTCTCGCCTGCCCTTCGTTGTGGGTGCTGCTCTGTCTCCCTGCTGCTTAACTGCACTGCGCATCTCACCTCAGCCTTGTGCTGAGGCCTATCCACCTTTCGGACATTCTCTCTCTCATTATATTTGATTTATTAGCTTCAATTCTGACTGTATTGTATTATAGTATGTTATCTTGCATACTGATAATATATTTAGTAAATTAGTTTTTCTCCTCAGATCGGTGCCGCTGTTTTTAATTATTTTGGGTTCCCCTGTTTCCTTTTTTCTGGAGGCGCGGATCTGCGGATCCCTCTGCCCCGCTCGTCACGGAACCGGGCCGAACCAGCTCGCAAACCGTTGACAATAGCAAACTCCAAAACGTTGTCACTCCTCTATCACTAAGGGATGAAGGCAGATGCCTTCTGTCCTCCATCTACCAGTCCCAATTTCTGCCTCTGACTGAAACAGCTGAAGTGACCAAGGTATGCTGAGACCCTGTGGAAATGAATGCCAAGTTCCTGACATGCACTTCTGCTCTCAAGCGTTTCAGAGTAAGGTCAAAGCCCAGACTGGAGGAATGATAATGAGACACAAAGTGGAGAGCATGAGGAAGATGAAAGCTATCAGCAGCGGAGACCCTCTGCTGAAGCTTCCTGCTGCACCTGCAGTCCTTCAGTACTTCAGCCAGTGCTCCACCCTGCAGTAGGGCAAGGCAGGCATCCTGCTTCATCACTCCCAGCCAGATTTGTCTTCCCTGAGCAAAGCTGCTGAATTCTCCCTGACCTCTGCAGCCTGCACTAAATCTGCAACCAGAGCCCATCAGCTGTTTCAGCACCCATATCCGGAGACTTCAACTCAGCCATCCTGGCAGCATCCTTGCCCACTGACCAGAGCAAGGTCAGAGACGCTCCCCCACAGAAATCTTCAAGAGATACCCCACGAGATGTCTGAGGGCAACTGCCTGCACTCCGCGCACCCCCAGGCACTCACAGCCCTATTACCGCCATGGCTGCGCTGGCACTCACTGTTGGTGGGCAGGGTCCTGCTGCCACTGAGGCTGCCTGCTGGCGGGGGGGAGATGGAGCGGACAGAGCTGGTGTCCTCATCCTGGGAGCAGCCCGCTTGGATGGCTCGGAGGTAGCTGTGGCTCCGGGAGCGGAAGTAACTGGGCAGGGGCAGGTCCAGCACCTCGGCGGCCGCTGACTCGGCCTCGCTGTAGGTAGAGTCGCAGACTGCCTCGTACTGCTCCCCCAGCTCCGGCTCTCTCGCCTGCATGAGAAGAGGGATAGAGCAATCACCCCCTGCCCAGGGCTGAGCCCCTTCCCCTCCCTCCTGCAGCCTTCTCCGCTTCCCTCTGTGCTGTGGTTCCCGAGAGGTTTTGATCAGACACAAGCAGAGCAAGAGGAGCAGTGCTGGCTGGCACAGGTCCTGGGCAAGGGAAGAGGGGACCCTCCTTCCACGTCAGAGGGTCTCTGTGGGAGCAGAGACACTTACCACCATAGTGCTGCAAAGCACTACCCTGTTTCTGATGGAAAGGCTGGGAGTACACGAGGACAAAATCCCTTCCCAGCCACGAACAACTCGGTTTTCCGCTGCCATGTCCGGAGGACCGCAAGCTCAGCTGTGAGACCCTACTGTGGCAGGTGTGCTCCCCAGTGGGGTGCTGTCCCAACCCTGCAGTGGGGCACAGGACTGGGGATGTGTCTCCATGCCTTGAGCCAGGCTGGCTGGCCCTGTGCTGGGCACGATGTTGCTGCAGCCCTGTTTTGAGTGTGAGAGGAGAGGGCCAGCTGTGTGGGCTGAGGCCCGACATGGCCTGAGCAGGGGCAGCTCCACTGCCTGCTCCCTGCTCTCTTCTGCCTCTGCCTTCCCTGGCCCTTCCCTGTCCTCTGGGGACCGCAGTTAATTGAGTTTCAGCTCAGGACGTTCACCTGGGTTAAAACGAAGCCAGACTGAAACAACAAGCATTTTGAAATACTGATGATGAGGGACACTGGCGATGGCTCTGTTGCCCACTTCCACCGCTCCGGGCCCTTATTTTGGCTTCAAGGGCACTATTTATGCCTGCTGCTGGCATCTGTAGCCTCTTCTGGGCTCCACAGGGTTTGGCTGAAAAAGCTCTTCGCTTCCCCCTGGAACACCTCTAAACCCTCTGCTTAGCCTGGAGAAATCAAACTGCCCAGGTGTGCTGCAGTGCCCTGGGCTGGGCAACGCATCGTCCTCCTCATCCCCTGGCCTTGGGTGAGGGTACCCCACAGCTGCCTCACACCCTGCCGTGGGGGTCCAGGGAGACCCCAAAAAGCTCCATGGAGAAGGAAGAGGGAATGCCAGTGGGACGGTACCTGCTCTCCATGGGTAAATATCTGAGGGATAAGTGAGGGGGGTCCAAAGATCTGGAAGAAAGAGTTGAAGAAGGTTAAAAGCCCAGAAAGGGGTAGCCCTCACACAGACAGCCATTGCACAGGGACCACAGACGAGGGGAGTAGATGGCCCTTTCCTTGGGGCCTGCGCTGCAGACACTTTGGTACAAACTTCAGAGCCCATAAGATGCCAAGCAAAATGCCGCCCCTTTGACAGTGGCACAAACATGGCACGGCAAAGCTCCACGGGACGCCTCTGAAACAGAGAAAAGCTGCTGATGCACTTAACCTGTTGTATGCATTGTATATTAATATACACAGGGCACGCTTGGACACTGACAGCAGGAACACAGTGCTGGGGTGCCCCGGGCACTCACACGGTGCCTGTGGCTGTGGGACCGGGCTGCTGTGGCTCCTGGTTTGTACCTCATGAAGCCCCAGAACCCCATGGTGTGGCCTGGAGCAACCCTGCAGCCCTGCAGCTGCAGAGCTGGATGGGTGGCAGGCTCTATGTCGGGGAAACTGTACTTTGCCCTGCCTAGGGTCAGGCTGGCCACCTTGCTGCTGACTCCTCTCTCCCTGCAGCAGGAAGAAGCCCCATAGAATCCATGCTCTCTTCTTTCCATGCATAAGCCATGATATATACTTGGCATCAGGACAGACACCTGACAAACCATGCGCTGCCTCTGTGAGGAATCCCACCTTCCTATCTCCTGACAGCTCCCTACAACCCCAGTCTATAGAGCACATTCACCCCAGGAGCTCTTTTTTGCACAGGCTGCTCAAGATGAGCGCTTCTGGGAAAAATCCGGGTTCAAATGCCAAATGTACCCTTCTGTATAAGGCACAGCTTGAAGTGTGTTTCAGAAAAGTTGGGGGTCAGCAGCCACTGGTCTCCTCATGTTAGAGGTAGATAATGATGCTCTGAAGAACCCCAAATTTCCAGAGGCTTTCAAGGTGGAATTCAGCCAGCAGAAAACCAAGTGGAGTGGACTTTGAGAGCTGGAGATGCTTCTGCACACTAGGTCTGACAGGGGAGGTGTTGGGAGGTCAAAATGAGGGCAGGGGAGGAGCTGCCTGCAGCACTTACAAAAAGGCAGGTTGGACCTTCCAGAGACTTGGGCTTCACGTGAGGTGCCTTTGCTAATTCCACCCTGAATCAACAGTTATGCAGTTTGTGGGAGGACTTTAGATCCCAATTCATCTGCAATTGGATACTGGTTGATTTGGAGGAAGGCAGGCAAAGTGCAGTCAGTGACACCAGGCCCAGGCTCAAGCTGGTGCTACTTTATGCCTCTATGGGTCTGGATCTGGAAAGGGGCAAAATTGGGCAGCTCCTGGCACAGTGCAGGCTGCCCAGCCTCTTGAGACACCTCAGATGCCTTTTTAGGGTACTGCTCTCAGCTGCTAAATGGTACATATGTGCTGGGAGAGAGCACAGACTCAGCCAGCCCCTGGCAGAGGCCCGAATTCAGACACGGGTTTCCTGCAAAGGACAGGAATACAGTGGCCCTGACCTCTTTCTCTGTGCTCATAAACACCCAGTATATTGTCTATGTACAAGAAACAAGACTGACCACAAGGAACATGTATGCCCGTGAGCAATGCTTTGCGTCTTTCCCCAAAGCTCTTCACAAATGGCTCCAGCCCTCTGCACTAGTAGCTGCATAAGTCAGCTATGGGGCTGAAGCAGCTGGGTAGGGATGAATGTGGGCTCAGAGCCCTGCACACCTGGAGTGAGTGCCAGCACACACCTCCAGCCCTCCTCTTCAGTCTCTGCTTCCCCGTGTCCAGCCTGCTTCCTTAACTGCTGCCTCATTCTGCCTCCCTTGATCAGTGAACACCAGCTGCGTGTGAGAGACAAGCTGCAGCAGCACAGAAAGGGCATGTGTGTGCACGTGTTCCCACGCAGACACACGTGAACAGAGACAGGACATGGCAGAAGCTCAGAGTGGCAGTGACACAACTGGGCAAAGCTCATGGAGCCATAGCTGTCCAAGACACTTTCACTTGCATCCCAAAAGGAAGGGTCCCACCCTAGGGTGGAGATGAACACGAGACCTGTGCAAGCGCCTCATGTGGCATGAGTGATTTCCTGGCCTGCAAGGCAGCTGCCTTATAGCCACACAGGCCCCAGGCCCCTCCAGCGCATCCCAAAGGGAGGCATAGTACAGGAGAGGGATTTAAGCCCAGAGGCTGTGGTCAGGGTTTGCCACCCACCATCAGTGCCTCCATGGCATCTTTGGCTCTGCCTGTCCTTCCTGGAGGCATGAGGACCAGGAATACTCAAGGGAGACACCCCCGGTAAGCGAGTCAGCTTCTTGAATCACAGGCGCCTCCTTCCACTTCCCAAGGGATGGGGCACTCAGAGTATAGCAGGGCTGCTGCTCCCTCTGCAGGGTCCCTGGTAGTCGGCCACAGACCACGTGCCACCTTTTGCTGCAGTGAGGCTGGCCTGGGCCCTGTGCCCACCCAGTGAGCACATGGAGCTTGCAGCAGGAGTGGGCAGCCTTGCGGGCAGCTCCTGGGTGCTGTGCAGTGTGAGTCTGTGCACAAAGCAGCCCTGAGCTCTGCCCACAGTTTTGAAGCATGCAAGGCTCCAGGTTGCCATACTCATGGCCATGGCTTCAGTGAGCAGCAGTGCTGAGAGGAGGTAAAAGCTAGAACAAAAGGAGTCCAATGTGAATAAAGAAGCTGGCTCTGACCCTTTGGTAAAGCTTCCAGAGAACAGCACATCTGCTGATAGAGTGCCTTGCTTTTAAGGGACCACCCCCTCTACCAGCCTCCATTCTTTTGAGCTGAGTATGCAATGGGACTTCAGTCTTTAGCACCTCACCTGGTTGATGCAACTGGAGTCATTGACACTGTCGGAGATCTGGTTGTATTCTTCCTCCCAGGTTGGGAACTTTGGAGGTAGGAGGATCTCGACAGAGTCCAGGCGGTCCAGGCTCCTGCCAGCAGAGAGAGAGGGTGTCAGAGGTGTCCCCAGGGAGCAGAAAGCACTGGGGCTGTGCTGGAGCTGTCAGCCCATCCAGACCACACTGCCAGACACAGGAACACATAGCAGCACATAGCTGGTGCTAGGTACCAGCTGGGTACACTGCTTGGCCCTGGCTGCAGCTGCTGCAGGAGATAGAAGTGCCTTCTCACCTAGGCGTCTCCTGGTTTAAGCTGGTACAGTGTACATACTAGGTTTGTTCAGCCCAGGGAGCACACAGGATCTGTGCCAGTCTGCAGAGTCACAGTCCCAGTTACAAATCAGCCCCAGCACAGACTGACATTGAGGGCTGTGGTCACAGAGCTTGCTACTCCCTGCCTGGACTGGTGGAAAGGGGCAGGGGGAGAGAAATGATTTTTTTGTGATATTTTTATGGACTTCACTGTTAGAAATACCTGCAGGGTTTCTTCTGTAAGTTATTTACAGAGAGAGCGGTGAGGTGCTGGAACAGCTGCCCAGAGAGGCTGTGGATGCCCTGTCCATCCCTGGAGGTGTTCAAGGCCAGGTTGGATGGGGCCCTGGGCAGCCTGGGCTGGTATTAAATGGGGAGGTTGGTGGCCCTGCGTGTGGCAGGGGGTTGGATATTCATGATCCTTGAGGGCCCTTCCAACCCTGGCCATTCTGTGATTCTGTTTTTGTTTGTTTGCTTGTTTATACAGAGGAACCTGAAAGTTTATCTGGAAGAAGCCCAGGGGAAGCCAAGCCTGGATGGCAGTACTGCACCAGCAAAGGGGTTCAGTATTTCCGAAGTAGCTTTTGCTACAGGCTGTGAGGGAAAAATCGTCCCATTGCTGGGGCTCCTGCAGCAGCAGAAGCAGAAGAGCAGGGCTTTTGGTGAGCCCAACCCTGCTGAGACCAAGGTTACTGCAAGAACTGGGTGCATGGGGCTGGGGGTGATGAAGAGAGTGGGAGGCATGTGGGAGGGTATGGGAAGGACCTGGCTTTCCCACTCTTCACTGCCACCATAAGACCCTGTGTGAAGCTGGAATCCTTGTCACAGATCAGGTGGGTGTGTGACAGCCTTGCATATTAGCTCAGCGCCATCTCTGACGTGTGTGTGGTCTGTGTGGGCTGCCGGGGCTCTGGAGCATGCAGCAAGGCACAGGCAGGTGTGGTGAGGGGTGAACTGCAGCAACTCTGCCCTGTGAACCACCTGTGGTCCCCACAGAGCAGTGTGGGGGTAAGACCTGGGGGGGCTGTGGGGCGCAGGAGGTCTGCCCTTTGCATCCAGGGAGCTTACAGGCTGTCTCCTGACTGGGCAGACCTGCGGGAAGGATGATGGCATCTCCTGAGCCTCCATTCAGGAGTGTGATGGACACAGGAGTTGCCTCTTCTCCCAGGTGATGGAGGAGACACTGGCCCTCTGGGAAACTGCTGCTGAGCTCGACCACCCACTGAGCAACTTGTGCCTGGCTTCACCCTGATCCACCCTCATCAGCTGCCCATGGAGAAACCGAGTCACAGAGCAGGCAGTGGGCCTTGGAGGAGCAGAAGTCTCCTTTCCAGGATGGGGCCCAGTGGCTCTAGCTGAGGAGACTGAGGTATGCGGCCACGATGGGGTGTGGGGCCACTGCTCTGCTCCAGCTTCTGTCCCACCAGTGTGGCTCTGCACCAACTTGCGTGGCCACATCTCCAGAGAGCTCGCTGGGGGGGGGGGGGGCCGGCCAGAGTGAAAGGGTGGTCAGCAGATGGCAGTCGTGCTTGCACTCCAGGCCAGCCGGGTGCTGGACCCCAGCAGTCCTGATGAAGTTTCACGCTCTGATGGGCATGACCTGAATGGACAATTAGCCCAAGACAGGAAGAACCTGAGTGTCAGTTATTTTTCATCACCGTCTACCACCAGAAAGCATCTGGGCTCCAGCCTGATGGACCACAAAGGGTGTCCAGACTACCTGCTACTGCTTTGCTTTTCTGGCTTCATCTGATGAACCGTGAGCAGTTCAAGTACAGCTGCTCCTGCCTCCTGCCCCGGTGCTGCTCACATCTGATTGCAGCACAGAGGGACTCGCAGCCCATCACAGCCCCTAGATGCCTTGTCCTGCCGTCACACAAACCCCATTCTGGGAGGAACAGCCCCTCACTCAGTGTGCTTGCTGTGCTGCCTTTGCTCTGCTGTCTATCTGGCTCAAAATGCAGGGTCTTCCTCTCTCCATACCTGGACCCAGGGCTCTTAGCTCATCTCTCCCAACTTCAGGGGACTACTCAGTCTGGTGCGCAAAACAGGCCCTTTCTGACTGGTCCCAGAGGCCTTGGGATGCTTGTGGAGCAAAGCAGATGGCACAGTTGCAGCAGTGTGTGGCCTGCGTGCCACATGTCGTCAGCCATGCTGGCTAAGCATCTCCATGTCTAGACAGCACCCTTGGGTTGTGATCTCCACACTTCCTTGGAGTAGCAGACCCTCAGCCAGAGAAAACCCACACAGCACCACCAAAGGAGGGCCCTCCCTGTCACTGGGGGACCTGCAGAGGGCTGTTTGGAGTCACCAGGATGGCGAACTCTGTCCTTCCTCTGCCACATCTTCTCCTGTCATGCTCTGCCTGTCCCATGGTCAGCTGCAGCGCGTGTGAGGGAGCCCTGCTGGGCTCTGCTCCCCACATGGGGTCTCTGAGCAGTGCTGCTGACCAAATCCCAAGGATGGCTTCCAGCATGGCCCCCAGGGACACATGCAGAGCTCTCAGAGGAGCTCCAGTTACCTTTGGGTGGTGCTCTGCTCACTCAGGGACTGTTGGGTGGCCTTGAGGTAACTCTGCCTCCGAGCTGCAGTTTTTGGGGATGGTTTGGGGCTGCTTTCTGAGTCTTCACTATCATCATCCCCCATGGCTTTGATGTAACTCCCGCTCCGCATGCGCCGGCATGGGATCTCACTGTCTTTGTCCCGAGACAGCGTGTTGTTCCACTCCCCCTGAGGCACCTGCAAGAGTAAAGGGAGCGTGAGCAGTGATGGACAGAATCTTTGAGACCAGAGGGACCCTGGGGACTCAGGGGATTGATGGCAAGGCCGACTGTAGTAGCCTCAGTTGTAGAATAGTGGGAATGGGCAACGCGATCCCTTTCCAACCCTCCCTTGCCAGCTCATGCCAGGCAGTCTTATGTTTGTTTGCCTCAATTTCAGCGCATGTACCCACATACGTTCACTCGATGACCACTGGACCATGCTTACACAGTTGATACAAGCTGCACAATGCCAGACACAATGAGAAGGGAAGAGCCTCACCAGATTTACGCTGCATGTTGGGACATGAGTGGCACACATTTGTTTAACACAAAGCCCATGCTCACTTAAAGTAAAGCATACACATTGTTCAGGCCAAAGCCAGTAATAGCTGCACAGATCAGAGCCTATGGACCAGTCCAATCCTCCCTCCAAGATTTGTAAGTTGAATGAGACTCTCAGTGTCTGAAATTCATTTTGGCAGCCAAGCCAGGCCCTCGCAAGCCCTGGAGCAGCTAGGGAATGTAAGCTTTGTGCTGGTCGCTGCACGGAGATGCGGAGTACCTTGCAACAAAAGCATTTCTAACCTTTCTAATTGTGGGAACTCTGTCATCAATTTAAGGCAGACACAGTCTTTAGTTCTCTCAGTAGAGATGGTCAAGCTAATGCATTCCACAAGGCCTGAAGTTCTGGTCAGATCAACTAATACCATTGCCTGTCTGCCCTGCAAAGGGTTTGCGGTTTGCATAGGTTGCCAGTGGCACAGGCAGGGCTCTGGACCAGCAGAAGAGCCAGATGTTAGCCCAAGGCTGAACAAGGCAAGACCACATGCAGATAGGCCAAGAGAAAGATGGGGCAACTGGAGCTGACAGGAGCAAGTCCTGTTTTTGTGGCTAGCTTGGTTTGTGGTTGGCCCTTGAACAGTCCTTAGGATAAGAAGAGGGAGATGAAGAAAGGACTGAAGCAATTGTTCCTACAGGGTTCTCTCACCAGCAATGTGTTCTGCAGTTTTTGCCTACTGGGGGTACAACAGTATTGGCTGTCTGCGCAAGAGAAGGGCAGGCGAGCCTGAGGACAGCAAGAGCATTCCTCAGCACAGGATAGCTGTAGCTATCGGTACATCTAGCACCCTGCAGAACTGCCCACTGCACTGCCTGCAGCTGTAACAGATCCAGAGACGGATGGTGAGGGAAAGCCAGAGACTGCAGGCTCAGAAAGAGATCCTCACTTAGGAGCATGTGAGACCAGGGCAACCCGAGGCTGCCCAGCCTGCTGCAGGCAGCTGCTGGTTGCGAAGCACCAGTGGGGAGCAGCTGTGTGCCGAGCCAGCTTGTGCTGGTGAGAGCATCCACATTTACTTTGCTGACAGAGCTGTTGGATTTACCCAACTCCCTGAGGGGCTGTAGGATTAATCAGCCAGTTTTTATCTAGTGCTCTGGGAATGCAGCTAACTGTGATCAGCTGGAGATGCTAAGTACCACTCTGTTCCTGTTCCCCTCCTTATTTGCAGCAGGCTGGTTTGTGTGCGCTGCCTGCAGCTGCTGGGATGCAGTGTCATCCTGGGGCTGCAGAGCTGCAGGTAGAGGCAGGGTGTCAAGATGTGGGCTCAGACATTCATAGCAGCCTTTCTCACTCTGCCCTAATGAAGTCGGGAGTTCAGTCCCTACTCCACAACCGGGTGCTTGCTGTGTCTGTGCAGAACTCTCACAACCTGTCGGATCCCACTGGTGATACAATCCTATAACTCCTAAGGGGTTCCCCCATCAGCAGTCTGTTTTGCTGTTTTTTTATGCATCCAGAGAGTGCACCAGTGTGGGCTGGCTGTGCAAGAGAAAGGCAGGAAGTGTACCCTTGAGCCAGGAATGGTTTTAATGGGGAGACACAGTGCAGAGAACCAGAGGCATCGCACTGCTGGTGGTGGAGCTCTAAGTGGGGACCAACGTAGAGCAGGTCCCATATGTGAGACACAGACCTTGCCAGGCCCCCCTGCTGCAGCAGGCTCGTACAGCTCTTTCCCACTCTGCCTCCTGCAATCTTCCTGTTCAGAGTGGCTTCTGGTCTGGCTGCTTGTGAGCTCTGGAGCTTACAGGGGTATAACCCACAGGCTTCTACAAAGTAAGAGAAGATTCCTTTCTCTCCTGGGTGTGAGAGCTCTCTGCCCAAGCATAGCTGTCTGCAAGGAGCGGCCCCAAGGCCAGCCAGGAGGGGCCTGCTGGATGAGTCCTTGCTGTGCAATAGAAGTCCCTGGCCGACCTGCATCACAGCGGCCCTGGGAAGTGCCGCTGTACCGACTGAACTGCCTTGGTGTTGGGACTGACTTGAGACTGGATTGTGCTGCCTGAGGATGGGTCACACATTCCTGCCATCAGAGCTCCTGGGCCGGTGTAAGCTGAGCATCCCAGAGCAGTGCATGCCCCTAGCAGAGCTAGGACATAGGCCTCTCTTCGAGACAGCCCGAAGCAGCTTCCCTGTGAGGACAGCCGTCTGGTCCTAACTCAGCTGCCTTATTTCTCCTTTCCCTCACCTTGTCAAGGCAGCAAGCTTGGTGCCAGAAACAAAGAAGCTCCCAAGGTGCTCCACATTTCAGTTTCCAAGGGAAAGGACGATGCTTGGCAGGACACCCTTCGACTCTAGTGCCCCAGTTTGGAGTTCGTCCCACATATGGCATGAAGAGAGAATGGGGCCTCCCACTGTTCTTACTGCCCACAGGCCAGAGTGCAGAACAAACATTTCAAGCAGGTGTCCTTGGGGATCTTCAGAAGCGGAGCAGGTATTAGAGGTGCTCATTCTGCATCCTGCTGGGTGCTTTTCTGCATCTTCAGGCACCTGAGGGCTCGAAGAGCCTGTCTCAGACTCTTAAGTAATAGGGGATGGAGAGCTGAGAGCATTTCCTGTTATCCAGGGACAGACCTTGACAGTGACTGACAGCAGGATCTCTCATGGCAGCTGGCACCCTGGGCTCTGAACACAGCCCGTGTTTTAAAGGGAGGACAAAGATGAAACGAGAGCTGATATGTTACACTTAAACCTGCCATGGAGAAAATTGGGGTTCCCTGTTGGCTGGTTTCTCCTGCTGTTTTTCCAAATGTAGCCTTTGTTGTGCCTGTGGTGGTTTGGTTGCTGTGAAAGGTGTGGGAGCACGAGAGTGCCCAGGTCCACAGCCCTTGCAAGTGGCCACTGGCCACAGGGGCTTGGGATCCACCCTGCCCAGACAGCTGCACGGGGGGAGGAATGGACAGCGAGGATCTGCTAGGCTCTGGGTGCAGATTCCTCTCTGTCTGGTTTGCACAGTGCCCCTTAGCACAGCCACTTTTCTGTCCCTGAGAGCTGGGCTCCTTTGGTATTCTGTGCGGTGCTGCATGTCGTAAAACAGCAGTGCCTTCTGGTTCATCTGTCCCTAGTATCATGAGCTAAGTGTGGAGGGGACACGAAAGAAGGTGCCACACAGGGATTTTTCCCTAAAAGAGCTTTAGTAGAAGGGAGCACGCAGCAAAGAAAAAAATTCCACCTCCAAGGTGGGAGTGAAAGAGCTGTGCTGTTCCTATAACTTTGGTGGGAATGGGGTAGAGAGACCTACAGAGCAAGCAGTGTTCCCATTCACATATGAGCCAGCTTAAACATGCAGCCCCATCCCAGGACATGTGGACATGCACCCAAGGTGAGCACACCCGCCGAGGCCCCGCAGAGCTGGGCACAGTGTGCAGGGATGCATGTGCCATGCAGCCAGGCTGCAATGCAAGAAGGAGCTCGCTGAGGGCACAGTGCTGCTCCCTCTGGAGCTGGTCTACGTGTACTGAGGGCTACGTGTAGCATCAGACATGTCTCCAAGAAAGAAAGCTGGAGCCCAGGCTACCTGTGTCCTACCTGGCCTCTAGGGAGGAGCACTTTGGGGACAACCTGGACTGGACTTCCTTCCCTCTAGAAGCTCTCATGGCAGTGACTGGCACTCAGTGGGCTGCCCACCCTGTCTTGCCAATTCATATTTGGGGCCACTGGGGAGTTGCGGAAGCTTTGATGGGGTTGGGGAGGCAAATCTGAATGAAGCTCCAGGCTAACAGTGCTGGTGGTGTGGCCCTGTCCCGTGGGAGCACCAGAGAGGCAGGGGCTGTGCCGCTGGTGCTGTGACCATGGCTCCCTTTCCACAGCTGAGAACAGCCATGACGCAGCCATCCCACTGCTTATTTTGGGAGACAACTATGAGAGAAAAATGACGCAAGGCCTGGACATGGCTGCAGCATCCCTGTGTGCCCCCTGGCTGCACTGAGGGTCACAGACGTGCCCGGGCAGCATGGATCCTTCCCTTGCTCAGAAGTGGGCTGTCTGCAGCTGAGAGCACTGCCCAGATGAGGCTGAACTGTGTGTGGGGCAGAGGTTGCTCAGCTCTTCCTGCTCCTGCCTGCCGATGGCCCAGGTCATCTCTGGCTCCAGGGACCTCCTTGGGCTCTGGCTGCCACCAGTCACGCACAAGTCCCACAGAGAAGACAGGAGCTCAACCTCTATCTCTTCAGAGCTGTGCTCCAGTCCTTCTCCAAGGTCTTCGCCTTGAGGTTTGCACCACATAACCCCCCCTCTGAGGCACCTGGCTAGACCTGAGTGGAGCTGAGCAATCACCCATTCTTAGGTCTCACAACTGGCTCTTGGAATAGGACTTGAACAATCACAAAGAGCCCCAGTGGTCCCTGATGAGCCCCAAGCCTTCCAGAGCCTACAACTGGAACAGGAAAAGTGAAAAACCTTGGAGTCTTACACCAGTTTGGGGGCTGGGGGATCTGTTTGTCCCCAACCCACTTTTCACGTACTTGGGTGAAAAGGGCATTTCCACAGCAGCAGAGCTGGCTGCCCTGTACTTCCTGTGTGCGGGACCTGCAAGCAGGTAGAAGCATCTGTCTTGTCGCCACTGCAGGAATGGGAGCTGGCAGGGGACCTGTCCTCTTGCAGAGGAACATTTCCTACATGCTGTCCACCAAATGCTGGAGGTGACTTCTCCACACCTGGCTTAGATCCCTTCCCAGGTGAGTAGCTGGCTGTAACTGCCATAACCGCCCCAGGCTGCAGTCCTTTGCCCCGCCTGCTGAGTCCCGCATTGCTCCTGATCTGTCAGGTTTTGGGGGTACGTGGTGTGCATCACGTCTCCTGGGCTTGGTGCCTGGTGTGGCGCCTCTGTGCCCTGCCTGGCCTTATGGTAGGGGCTGCTGGCCCCATCCGATGGTTTCAGGAGGGTCAGGGAGGGGAGGGAGCTGGGCAAAAGCTTTCCCTCAGAACAAGTTCCCTACCTGGCCGCTGCCTGCGTCGGTCGGCCCGGGGCTCAGGGGCTGGTCCCACCTCCGTGGGGGCTCGCTCGGCGGCAGTGGGGCGGCACCCGTGTCCTCCCAGCCGAGCGGTGGGGCTGCCCAGCTGCTGGCCGGGCTCACGCCACCCAGTTGTGCCCACAGCCCTCCGTCAGGCTGTCAAGAAACGGAGGCTCATTACATGGGTGGGGAACAAACCAGCAGGGCTGTCTCATACTGGGCCTGGCCCCACTGGGGGAGTGAGCACTGCACGGTGGCCGTGGGGTCTCCTATGCCAGCCCTGCTGCCACACACAGAGGGGCTCTGCAGCTCTTAATGCTCCTGACTGAAAGGAGGGGACAAAGAAAAAAAACCAGGCCAAGGACGTGTCTCCGACGACATTTCTGATACAGCAAGTCTCTCCATAATTTGATTTGCAGCAATAACCATCCAGATATGAGCAGCAGTTTGTGCTTCAATAATTCATGGCTCTTTACAGCTTGTAAGCCCGCTGGCTGCAGCCAGGAGAGCCGATTACACCTTTGCATTAGAAAAGAACGCTAGAGATTTACATCAGGTAGCCCACCTGATCAAACCACCCCCTGCTTTCCCCATCCAGGCCTGGCTTATTTGTCTTCATTCCTCTCTCCTAGGCACAGCCAGGTTTATGTTCTTCAGGTGCAGCTTTATAAACCCCTGGCGACGTGGCGCTCCCCATGACGGGCATTCAAGCCTGCGGCCCGCAGCACTAGCCATGCAGGCCCTGCCATGCAAGCCAGGCGGCTGGCACTGCTCTCCTTGCCGTGCAGCCCCAAGGAGGAGCAGCAGTGGGAGCCGAGCCCCGCTGAGCTGCAGGTCCTACCAGCACTCCAGGGAAGCTCTGCGGAGTGGGGCTGACAGGGCGTGCTGGCACATCCTTGCAACACATGGATATAAGGGATTAACATCAGTTATTACTGGCGTCCTTTGGGCTGTGGGATGATGGCAGCGCTCGGCCAGAGGCCAGGAGCCATCCTGCGCTGGTGGGATGCAGCCAGCTGCCTGGGCACCCAGCAGAAGCTGTGCTTGAGTGTTGGATTTGCCCTGGCCACGGTGGCTGCAGGGTCTGCAAGGGCAGTGGGACGTGTTTGGCATGTGGGGATCCCCCAGCAAACTTTGGTCACAGCAGCAGGTGCTGTAGCTGCTGTGAAGTGGGGAGCAGGGGGCTGGAGGTTGCCCTTGTCATGGGCACCACATCTCCCACTGGCACTGCACAGGGCCTGGGGGAGCTTGCTGCAGCCCGACCCCATCAGCACCGCGTCTCTGTGCGTCTGTCCCTGAGCACAGCTGCGGCCTGGGGGATTTACACTTGTGTCCCCCCAGCCCAATGTTGGCAATGTGACTTGGGGTGGCTGCTGAAACATCAGTCTGGTGCTGTTTGATAAGGCCTGCCGGGCAATAGGGTGCCCACCCAGAGGGCGCTTTCTTGTTTTCCTGTATGAAGCAAACCGTAACCCCTCTCTGCACCCACCTGCAGGTAGTGGTAGGCCAAGTCTTGATGGCAGGACTTGGATTTCAGCAAGGCTTTGTCGATTGTGGCTGAGGCCTTTTGGCACACTTCCCGAGCGTGGCTGAGTGTCAGTGTGGACCAGGAGCCCCTCTTAATGTAGTTGGAGTCATTGTTAATGGGGATATTGGTGCAAGGGGTGACCTTGAGGTCGTTATTGCTCTTGGAGGATTTCAGCATGTGCTCGCTGATGGTGTTGTAAGCATGCATGAAGTACTTCGGCTGGCTGTGGTCCGGCTGCCGGCCCAGTGTCATGAGGCCCATTGGGTTGCGGTAGCTGCAGGTGTCACTGTCTAAGTTGTCGTCTGAGCTCCACCAGCCTGATATGTTGGATCTGGTCCTGCGCTTGGGCTCGGAAGTCTTTGCTCGGTCTTTGCTCTTGCTCCTTCGGTTCTGCTTGGGGTCATCAGCCCCTTTCTTACCGTTCACACTGCCTTTGGTGGGGCCCTCCAGAGACTGGGACTTGGCAAATAGTTTCTGGACGGAGTGGACAAGGTGCCGGATCCGCCCAGGGCTTTCACTCCGGTGTTTTGCATCGCTCCTCTGAAACTGGAGGGTGCTGAAGCCATCTCTGTGGATGGGCAGCTGTTTCTCAAACTGGTCAAGGAGGTTTGCAGGCAAGCGGTTGATTTTGGTGGCTTGGGCATGGCTTGGAAAAGGGCTCTCATCTGGGACCTCAAAGTGGGAGTTGTAATGGATGCGGGGGAAAGTGCTGCTATTGGAGATCTGGTTGTTGAGTGGAAGGAGACAGTCACCATGGAGGGTGTTCTGGGCTGGGAATCGGGGGTCCATGGTGAAGGAGTCAGTGGGGCTGAGGAGATATGGATTCCTGTCCTGGGGGGCATAAAGAGAGTCTTGAGGGGAGTCCAGGTTATCAGAGAGGTGGCGGCTTCTGTTGTCTCCTAAGCCCTTCATGGTCCCACTGTTTTCTAGAGCATCGCTCACGGATGGTGCAAGCAGAGCCTTTGTGTGGGTGCCAACCCTGCTCCCCACACTTCTCTGCACCTGGAGAAAGAAGAGAAATGCTCAGAGTGTGCTGAAGAGCTCCTTGGCAGCCCATTCCTTACTGTGGCAACCTTGCAAGGGCTGTCCCAGCTCTAAAAACAAATGTCCCAAGGTCAAGGGTTGAAAGAGAAAAACAGGACATGAGAGAGATTGTACAGCAGGAGGGGAGGAGAAGCGATGTGAGAACCAAGGACTGGAGATTACAGGGCACAGAAGAAGAGGATATGTTTATTTTAATGGTGTGCCTTCCTCAGCCAGCATAACAAATGATAGCAGAGCTACTGCCAGCAAATCACTGCTCCTGTCCCATTTGTTCAGGGGGCTGAAGAAAAACCTGCTGTCAGATACTACACATGGGCCTTGCATGAGCCAAGGGAAGCGAGGCGCTGAACGTCCAGTCCTGCTGCATTATGTTTTGTGTTTCTGTGGTTACTGGATCTCTGAGGGGAGCTGGCAGCCCTGCTCTGTGTTGCTTGCAGCTGCGCTAATGCAATATGATGTCAAACGTCTCCTCTCTGACAAGCACTGGGGTTTATGGCATGTTTTACCCCAAAGGAAAATGTTTCAGTAGCTCAGATGAGAGCAGAGGTGTTTTTAAGCACTCAGAGCCTGACCTGAGAAGCTGCTTTCTGCTCAGTTGATCTTTTCTGCCCTGCTGCATTGCTCCTGGTGGAGCTGTGCTGTCCTGGCTGGCTGTCTCTTGCTATGGTGCTCCTCTGTCACCATAGCACGCAGCAGGTACAGGCATCCCTGTGGGCTGGTGGAGGGGACAGGCTCTGAGATTTGGCTGTGACTAATCTGCATAGCAGAAGGGTGCACCAAGGTGCACTGACCCCATCCTGCTTGTCTCTGACTCCCATCTGTGCGGGGCTATACAGGGGGATAAGACCAACTCTTTTTTTGCAAGGGAAAAGGGGCCAGGGGGCAGCTTGGCTTGGGGAGCAGAGAGACAGGGAGGTAAATCTGAGGGACTGTGGGGACAAATGGACAGGGAGGAAAAGAGAAGTTTGTATGAGGGGCTGGAAGGATGAAAACAAAAGGGATGGGGGGGGGCAGGGAGCAGGGGAGGCCAGGGAGCACCCTTACTCTTACTGCTATTGCTGAGTGTGGACAGTCACTTCTATATGGCAGAGAGTTCAATTTCCTCCTTCAAATTCCTGCAAGGTGAACAGCCAATCTGATTCTGTCCTGTTTGCCTCAGGCATCCCTTCACCTGTTGTCAGCTGCTCAGTGGGGCACAGCTTCCAGGCTGGGCATGCGTGGGTCAGGACATGGGTCTGCTGGAGTGGTTGTGGCTCCCCATCTGCTGGAGCCCACTCTGCTGTGGCTGCTGTTGCATCCCCTGTGAGCTGATTTCCCTTTAAGATGGATTAAACTGTTTTCATTGCATTTCAATTACTCTCTGCAACTCTTGGCACTTCATCGAGACATGAGGTGGGGGAAGAAAAAGCTCAACAAGCCTCTCTCCCACCTTTTTTCTTTTTTTCTTTTTTTTTTTTTTTTTTTTAATTTGGAAGGATGATAAAGCTGGAAATTAAATCTCCAAATCCATGACCCTGCAGCTCACAAACTGAGCAAGGGCAGTCTGCCAGGACAGCTGCCTGGTCCCTGCTACATCCCACCACACCCTCAGCACAGTCTGACAGGGGAAGGCCCTACTTACGAGATGCTCGTAACAGCTGCGTGGAGAAGATGCATCCCTGAGCCCAGGGGAAGCAGTGTGGCCCATTACCTTCCTTCCCCTCAGCCTATTTCTTTGTGTTCCCCTTCCCTTTCCCACTACTTTTGCTGATGCTCGGAGGTCTCTGATGTGCAGCAGATGACCTGACGTGTCCTGTGTGTCCCAAAGGGGTCTACTTTGTCTTGGGCGCGATTTGCAACATTAGCACTACAGTCCCTGTTTGCAGCATCCCAACTGCAGCTCCCAAGAGTGAATAGTAGATGAGATTTCAAATAAGGCAGATGATAGCCTTGCCTGAAGAAGCTTCCTGCTCAGCAGGGAGTCCTCTCCTCCCCTGGCAGAGCAATGCCAACTGCTCCCTCCTGTAGGGCCCATGACTGCTGTGCCCCTCTGCCATGCTGGGAGATGGGGCTAGGCTGGGGGGCTGCTGGAGCTGGTGGGAGATGGTTTGCTCTGCTCCAGGAAGACTGAATCACATCTTCCCTGTGAGCTGAAAAGCCTCTGCTGTTGTAAGAGATCCTTCACTGAGTGAAAATATTTGCTTGCCAGTCTCTTTTTAACAGCAAAGAGATTAGGCTGGCCTGAGCTCCGGACAGAGCAGGGGATAAACAAAAGGGAGCAGATGGAGAAGAGGAGCCGAGTGCAGTGTGCATCCCAGCTAAGCACGCTTTCCCTAGCTTTCTTTCCTGCCCTCGCCCCCACACGCCTGCCCAGCTTCTGGCTGCTCATCCACCCAGCAGCCAGGCTGTGCTTGCTGAATTACTGTGACGTGAGTCCTTGCAATTATGGTTTGTAACTCCTGGCAGAAAGTTACAGAGAGGGAAAATGTCAAAATGTCACCTCAGGAAGAAGCCCAAAGAGCTGCCCTGGAGATATCTGTCTGTCTTTGCAATCCTCTAACACCTCTGAAGTTACTGCTATCCAGCCAGGATGCCTCTGGTGGCAGCTCCAGCTTGTGATGTCTTGTCCTGCCTGCCCTCCTCACGGAGCAGACACCTTCCTGCCCCTCATCTCTGGAGATGAACTCCATGTCCTTCTGGAGGTGTGCCCCCAGACTGTATGCCGTATCTTCAGAAGGACAGCTGCCCAGTGGACACAGGTTCATTTCCATCTCCCCATAGAAATTACTCCTGGTTTGCCCTGGCAAGGAGATGGCAGCAGAAGGTTCTCACTGACCACTGGTGACTACACGCAGGCTGTTACTTGCCCGTTCTGAACAGACTCAAGGCCCATGTCAAAATTACAAAGTCTGGGAGGCTCCTGTGCTCTCTGAGGGGACAGAGCGCTCACATCATACCAGCCATGTTAGGAACCACTGGTCTAATCAGCCTCTCTGCTGGGACTCTGTGCTGCAATAGACATTGAAGAACCAGCTGTTCCTTCCCACCATGCCTCCACACGGTGGGAATTACAGCAGCAGGGCTTTCCAACAGTTTCCAGACTTGTTCCCTATGGAAACACCAAAGCTGTACCCTGCATGCCAGCCCAGGAGCTTCATCCTTGCTGAAGAGCAGAAGGAAGCTGCTGTGGTGGACGGCTCCTGGGACAGCTTGGCTCTGCCACGTTAACCAGTCACATCCTGACTTTAAACATAACGTACCACCAAATAAATGCATCAGACACCCAACAACCAGACCTTGGCCCAGGTGATGTCCGCAAGCAGTCAGAGACTAGGCTTCCTGGCTGGCATATAGTGAAAACCATAGACTCATTTAGGTCAGGAACTTCTTGCCATCATAACCTTTGAGGAAAGCTTGGCTGCTGAGGCAGGGCTGGCCATGAAGGATTGCTCAGGCACAAGTCCTGCCCAGGAACCAACCCCTGGTGGGCTGCAGGCACTCCAGAGCTGCCTTGTTGTGCCCTCTGCCCATCAGCTCTGCCATGGCCCCACACGCCGTCATCTCCCACATAAACCTCAGCTCAGCCATTCTAGCTGGCTGTGAACACAGGGGTGGCTTTTATATATAGAAACCTGGCAGCGTGCTAATAGCTAGCTAGATGAGGAAGAAGTGATTCGCAACCTGCACAAGAAAAACGACTCCCCTCACCCTGCCTCTAGAAGCTTAAAAAATTGTATACTGTGCTGTAGGTGACGTAGGTCTGCCTACACGCCTGATTTCAAATGTTCCCCGAATTAGCAGGAACACTTCATGTGGCATTCAGCAAGGGGGGCTGCCGGCCTCCAGGGCGTTGCATTAATGATGATTCAAAGAGTTCAGAATCTAATCGCAAGGCATAAAAATAGCCGACTTCTACTCGGAAAGATTCATTGCACCACAGACCTTCCTCCATCCTCCTGCTTCTTGTTCCTCCCCGGGAGCTTCCCCCAGTGCTGCAGCTGAGCAGTGCTGCTTGCTGTGGGCCACCACGAGGGGCTGAAGCCGTGGCAGAGCCTTGGGGGCTGTGGGCTCTGTGCTCTCGAGCTGAAGGGCTGTCAGTGCTGGGGCTGGCACTGGATGCCCACTGTGGTGATGGGGAGGGGTAGGGTCTGGGTAGAGCTTTCACAAAACAAGAAATAACTTTTTCCTTGTATGCTGCACACACTTTGTTTTTTCCATTTTTTTTCTCATTTTTCAATTTTTTTTTTCTTTTCTTGTGTCAGAGCAACCAATTTCTGTGAAAATCAGTGATTGCAGTATGGCAGATTTTTGACTTAAGGTGTTGACTAATTTGGAGAGGCAGATGAGAGGGGGAAGCTGTTGTCATGCAAATACCACTGGTAACATAACCAACTCTCAAGGGAAAGAAATTCTAGAACCTATTTGATTGTCCCTAAATAGACATTTTCAAAGTTCTCCAGAAGAAGCGATCTGCTCTGAAAAAGGAAATGCAAAACATTAAGGAAGTCAAATGAGACAAACAAAGGGAAGTTAAGAAAGGGAGAGTTTTCAGGAAGAAAGCTGATGAAGGGAAGTGGAAGGACCAGGGAAGCAAGCAAAGAGTGCTGTGGTTTGAAACCTCACTGCAGCTCTGTGCTCCCTTACAAGGCTCTCTGTGCATGTGCTGGTGGTGCTGCATGCTCCAGCATGTCTGCAAGAGCAGCTAATAAGACAGCTTGGGAAAAAATATCATTTCTTCTGCTCAGTGCTGTCCAAGCGGCCAGGTGGAGTGTGTGGGCATTTGCAAAGCCCTCGATGGAGCAGGCAGAGCGCTCCATGTCTGCTCTCCATCTAATAGTGCATGCTGTGACTCCCAGCGATGGAGATTTTCCACGCTTGCAGTGAGCATTTGTGGCACAGCACAAGGCAGGCCGCTCTGCATGGCTGTCTGTGCCACTGCCCCACTGCAATCTTCTGGCCACATCCTCCTGCCTCACCGTGCTGCCAAAGCCAGCAGCAGCCTGGTGCTGGTGCACAGAGGTAATGGTGAGGTGGGGATCGCTGGCAGGACAAGGACAGACAACATTATTTACGACACAGCAGTTATGGGGTGCACTACGTGGCAATGACTGCTGCTGCTGTGCCACCAGATCTCTGCAGCTTACAGAGATCTTGCTTTGTACCAGGGCAGGTGCTCCTGCTGCCTTCATGTCTGGATGGAGCTTGGCGGGGCCCCAGCTGTGTTCAGGATGTGGGATGAAGGCGCTCCCTGGCAGTGGCTTTGCTTTGTGCCTGAGATAAAGCAGCTCATGGTGCATGAGGGCCTGTGGGGCAGAGGGGTGCAGGTGGGGAAAAGTCAGCAGCTCCCTCTGCCATTCTTTCTGGAGAACAGACCAAAACTAGTCTGCAGCCTCCTGCATGCTCAGAGCTGCGGGAACACTTCCTTTGTCTCAAACTAGGTCAGTGCAGAGGCGTGATGTTACTATAGCAATTGGTATTAGATTTCATAACTTTATTTAGTGATGGGCGTGATGCAGGATTCACTATGAGATGGAGGGAGGGTTGTCATTGAAACGCCCTTGGCAGCTCTCCTGCCTCGGCCTCCCCCTGCCACCACCCCTCCAACCACACGCACACAGCTGTCCCCCCCAGCAGAGATGAAGAGCCCCAGAGGCTGCCCCGGGCCGTGCCGTACCTCTCACAGCTTGCTGGGTTGCAGGACTAGGCCAGATTCAGCATCCCGTGCACTGCGTTTCTCTCTGGGCTCGAGTCGCCCCTCATGAAGACCTGCCAGGCAAAGAGAAAAGGGAAAATGTCCTCAGGTCACAAAGCACCACGGACTCTCCGTGCCGAATGTCCCAGCCCAAAACCTGGTTATGTAAAGTCACTGCAACTCCGACTGACACCCGGGTCGTCATCATTAATTCCTAGCAAAGGCACCAGGGAAGTGCTAGAAGGCATCTCTCTAGGGAGGCAACAGTGATACCTGTGTGGGAGGTGTGGAGGTGGCTTTCCTGTCCCTCAGCATCACAAATGGACTGTTGGACTAGAAATCATCTGGGTGGGGAGGAGACTATGCAAAATGCCTAGGCTTCCTGCCTGGAGGCACAGGGCTGGGGACAGCCCCTTTGTGGGGCTTTTCCTTCCCCACTTCTTTATCTTAAAACAATCCTTCAAGGACTCCCCTTGTTGCCCACATCTCTGCCTGTGTTTCTAATCCATTCCAGGACAGCAGGGATGGTTCTGCAACCCTTTGTGCCTCAGCCTTTGTGCTCCTCACTGTGCTCAGCGTCCTGGGGGAACGGAGCCTGGAAAGGAGGGAAGGACAGATGTGGGGATGAACACCTGCTCTGTAATGGCAGCTACCTCTGATGCATTTAGCCATATACCTGCTGAAATCAGCATCTTATTCTCACCTATTACACTTGTGCTCAAGCAGACCATGATAATTTGTTCCCATCTGGTCACTAGGTGCTACTGTATTGTAGCTAAAATATTGTGATTCCTTCCTTACTGTCATTCATCATCAGCCACATTGCAACTGGCTGAAAAATAAATACTTCCTGTAAGAAAAGTAAATAAATACATGGAAAAATAACAGTACTTCTTAGTGTTCTCTAAAACCTATGCATTACAACACAGGTTGCGTTATTTTATCAGTGAGAGTAAAGGTTATTTGGGGTTTTCATCAGTTAATTTCCAAAGTGGGCTTGTGTGCGTGTGTTTTCTGTCCCGCACCGAGAAGATGCAGGCACAGTGCCAGGGCAGCCTGGGGCGTTCAGCCTTTCCCTGCTGATCAACAAGGGGCAGGAACAGCATGGGAACCCAGACAAGGAGACAGCCTTCCTGTGCTGGCGTTTCTTCTCACTCCTAGCTAGAGTGCTCCTAACACAGGAGGCACTTGGGTCTCAAAAGGCTGGATATGATGGACCGACAGAGTGCAGGTAGAAGGATAAGAATATTTGGTATTCCAGAGGCACTGGGAAAGTCCTAATGGATATCCCAACAGAGAAAAGAATTTTCCTAGAAAAATCAGATCCTCCTAATCTGGTACAAATCCTCTTCCTCTTCCCACTAGTTCTGCACCACTTGAGTCCACAAAAATGCAGAGGAAATGGCTGTAGGAAAGGCAGTCGTCTTGGGAGAGCCAAGAAGGAGACGGCTGTTATTTGTCATGCCCATCCCCAAAGGTCACCAGCATTCTACACCAAAGTGCCTGTTCTGAGTTCCTAGCTGCTAGTGGGTACTCAGCTGTGAAACCCAGAGACAGAAGTTCTATCCAGGAGCCTCAGCAAACATGCTTCTGCCCAACCAAGGAGACCTTTGTTGTAGAGGCATTGGCTCTTGAAGACAAGGCACAATTCCATACCCAAAGCTCACACAATCCCAAGATGTGAATGAGGTTTCAAGTTGCTGCCAGCTGGCCACTGCCTAGTACTAAATATAAAGCTGTGTGCATGCAATAAAACTAGGTGTGACAAGTCTGCACAGTTCAGGTGGCCATGCAGCAGTAATTGCATTGACACTAACTTTTTCAAAACTCTCCCCTCACAAGTAATCTCCAGTTACTGGTGAGTTGGGTTAGGTTTGAGACAGTAATCTAGACATACAGAACCTGCAGTTGCCATTAGAACAGCCAGTATCTGTGCTTGGTGCCACCCACATCCATTCACAGCATCAGTATCTGTGCGACCAGTATCCAGCAGCAGTTATTGCTCTCCAGCTCTAGTGCCACTAGTACTGTTACAAAGGGTGACACTGTATGTCACTAGAGCCACCAGTGTCCATCATTAAAGTAACCAGCATATGGTAGCAATGTTATCATCATCCCCCACTGCACAAATAGGCACCACTGCTGCCCAGCATCCTGTATCACTGCATACTTGTGCTGCAAGCATCTGTTCCCAGGGCTACCATTCCCCCTGGTGTCTGTCACCAGCACTCTCAGAGTATCCCATTGTACACATAGGAATGGTGCTGACCTTGGGATCCAGGGCACATAGGGGCTGTGATGGGCAGCAGGAGCAGAACCCATGCTGTCTCCATGCACCTTGCAGGTTTCTCAAAACAAAAGGTGAAAGTAGACTTCTTTTTTTTTTTTTTTTTCTGCAACACTGCTTTGTCTTTGCATGTTACTGTTAGACCGAACAAGCAGTGCTATAATTACCTTTAATTAATAACAGCATCGACACCCCAAGGAAAAGCGAATGAACAATTGTGCTGCCAGCACAATAGCGTTACATTAGCTACATCCACCTCTACCGTCCCCCTCCTTATTGCATTCTCAGGAGCAGCTTGCTCATATCGTGGCTGCTCTTGGAGGGAGCAGAACTGAAGAGGCCTTATGGAAGGAGACTTCTGTGGTGGTGGTACCACAGGCAAGAAGTCTCCAGACCGAGGGGAAATGCAAGGGCAGGCTGGATCCCAGACTTCCTATTCTGCTGTTTGCTGAGATCTGTCCTGCTGATGAACAGATCTTCCTTCCCCACAGGGTTCAAGACAGTTTTGGTGACCTAAGGCCTCAGGCATTCTGCGGCCAAACCTTCCTGGAGAAATCTGGTCACCTCCTGGTCTTTGCTTGGCCTCACTCCTTCTGCCAGCCCCCTTCAGGGCTGCTCTCACTTTATCTCATCCAGAGCCACCCCACAGCTTTGCTGGCACCTAAATAGAGCAAATAAGCCTGCTGTTATCCAGAGCCTTGACAGCGCCTCTTCAGCATCCTCACGATCATCAACCCGGTCCCGTCAGGACTGGAGAAACCGATCTGCTTGTGTTTGAGGCCGCACTGTGTCGGCAGGGTGACGGCTGAGGGCACGCAGGCCCAGGCCGAGGTCCCGCCCTCCACAGCTCTCACGGGGCTGAGGGCTCCGCCGCCCGCCGCCTGTCCCTCTGCAGCACCACGGAGAGCGGCACGGGAGGGCAGCACCGCGCAGCGCATCTCCTGCCGGCTGCCGGCGCGGCGCTCCGCTCCTCCGCTGTCACCCACGGCACGTAAACGGCTATCTCCGGCTCCGAGAGCGGCGGACCGCAAGTTCGGGCACCGTCCTTACAAGCCTCTGGCCTGCTCTCCCTTACAAGATAGCCCGCAGTGTCTCTCTGTGCGATTTCAGGAGCAGAAATGAAAACAAATGCCTGGGTGTTCTTGTACCTTAATCCTAGAACCACTTATCTGGATAAAACAAATAGATTGAACTCCTTTGCGTCTCCGAGAAAGAACTAAATTTCATACAGAGGATGCTTGAGGCCTGACTTGAGAGCTGTCACTTCCTTGCAGGCAAGGGAAAAAAAGAGTGGAAAAATGGTGCTGTGTAGAGAGCAGAGAGTGCACATGAGATATGGGTGTTCATAAAGGAAGAGATCTGTAGCCAGTACTAAGGTGGGTCTGAGGGAGGTGAGAATGGAAAAATCTCTGTGTTAAAGCACCAGAGAAAACAACAGAGCAAGGGTGGGAAGAGTGTCAACGTCCTGCTGAGCCACAGGGAGCACAGTGCGTTCCTTGCTCCAAACCCAGACGGCTGTGCTCTGCAAAGCTCCCCACACAGATGACTTGTCAGCAGAAGAGTTGTGTTCGGGTCATGGGAGGAGGGAAACAAGGTTACAGCACATACAGCGTGCTCTTCCTGCTCTCCTAACAGGAAGATACCCTAAACAAGGACACAAAGACAATGAGCACCAATCGTGCCTAAGATTTATGGCAATCAAAGGAAGCAAGATGCTGTAGCAGAACACCCACCCATAATTCCTGAAAGGAATTCCTGAAAGGGCCTAAAAGTCTGGCCCCAAATCCCCATCAATGTTAACCAAGAGGAACCTAAGAGACGTAGTAGAGACTCAGCAGCAATTTTCCTCTCCTGTCTTTTTGTACAGAAAAACTTTCTGTTACTGGCAAAGAACTGTATAAGTGGTTTGGAGCTTGTGAGGATGCAGCTGAGAAAAAGGAGAGAAAGAGTCTGAGTGACTAAAATCTGTTTGACTTGAAAGATATATCACCTTCCCTTCCAGTAAGTTTCTCCATTGAATTTTGTTTAATGAATTTACTGAATTACCACATAACTGGGGTCTGCTCTGCCTGGCTGGAGAGAAGCCTGGGCAAGCCAGCAACCAGAGAGAAGAGGCCATGATTTCCTGTGGGTGGAGGGGATCAATTCTTGGCACGGAAGCAGCTCAGAGGTTCCTGGTGGCAACATGGCAGATGGAGCAAAACTGAGGCACCCAGCAGGAACCCACAGAGGGACCCCAACCACCAGAGGCTGGGCAGCCACGACAGAAGGATTCCCTGATCTGCAGTACTGAGGCATCTCCCAGGCAGTTGCTGCTGCAATGGTAGGGCATGCAGGGGAAGCTGCCCTGAGGAGTCTTCATGTCTCTGCAGGCACCCAGCAGGAAGCATGAGGGAGGGAGATGGGGCTGGTGTGATGCGACAGACCAGGAGATGCTGCTCACGACGGGAGATCTTCCTCTGAGGGGCTGGGAATCAAAGAGGGAGCAGGACAGACTCAGCGCAGGGTATGAAGCAGAGAAGAAGGGAATTAGGAGGGAATTCTTCAGAGTGATGTCGTGATTTTGATAAGCAAATAAGTTCCAGACAGCAAGAAACTTGAAGGAATTCTGTAACTGCTGTCACACTGAGGACAAGGAGCTTAGATAATACACTCTGCTGTCAGATGGGCACAAATTTGACCTAGTTGTGCTCCTGAAGTCTGACTAGCACAATTGGAGTGCTAAAATCAGCAAATGTTAAAGAAGTCAACACCTTTAGGAATGAATGAGGGTGCAAAGAGGGATGT